TTTACTAAAAAAAAAAGTAAATAAAAATTGTAAGTAACACATATGTAGATTAAATAATCTATTTCAGAAGCAAATATGCTCGGAGAATTAAATTTTTTTCTTAGAAACGAAGCTTCATACGAAGAAATGCCATTCGTGTTTCGATCTATGTTAGCATGTAAAATAATTTTTTCTTCAATTGTACTACTTTTTCAGAACACCCTGTATATTAAATGTGTATACATGCATAATACATATTTATACCGTATTTTCCTGACTTGAACAAATTCGAATAATTTAAAATACCATGAAATTCAGCATCGAAAATAGTAATGTAGTTATCATGAACAGGTTCATACGGTATAGTACAAATGTGCATGCTTTGCTAACGTCAGTTCACATGGCAAGCTTCAAATTAGCAAATATTGTTATACTTCATTTTGCTCTTCAAAGCTCAGGTACATATTCTTTGTATCATTAGTAAATAGTAGAATTTACTGCTGTTTTGTCTATTTCATGTATATTTGTATGACACTTTTGTGTCATATACATAGTCATATAAAATGGTCTCATATTTTCCCTCATTTCAATATATGCATATCGCTGTACCTTGATTCTTTATTTCTATGCAATTGGAATAATGTATGTTCATTTTCTCATTCTGCTTACTCAACACTCAATGCATATTCAAAATTGAAGTGATTAAATAGAATGTGAAGATCAATTTAGAAATGACAAAATTTTCATTTTTTGTAGGTCTAATTTGAATTTCACTTGTATAGTAATACTTTCATTCGAATTTCACCTTTGAAAACGTATATAAATCTTAGGAGTATATTTGTATAACTTTATTTCTCATATTACTATATAATTAAGAATATTCCAAACAAATGATAAGAATATTATATCTTCTGCTATGACACTATCTCCTATATTGTCAAAGGCAAGACATACTTAGTATAACTAACTATTCTTCATCATCAACTGCAGCTCTTGTGTACTATTAATTCTTGTAATGTTTGTATACTATTAACGCTGTCTTTGTTAACTCTTTATGTTACACGAGTTCCATGTATGTATGTCTTTCCTTGAACTACATAGCATATACACATCTCCTGACATTTGTTTCCATTCATTAATTCTTTATACTTCACAATTAAAGAAATAATTTAATTATATCGGCAGCGCGGCAGCCAGTAGCCATAATGCAAGGTAAGAATTATAAAGTACATTGAAACAATGATTTACACTACATTTTTCTTCCTTTTCCATTATCACGCTCTTTATTCTTTTATGCTTACTTTTTTATTTAATTTTTCCTAGCATTCGGTTTTTATCATTTTTATAATAAACAGTATAATCTATAATATAAGAATTTCAAATTCGTTTTTATGTTTTGTACAATGAGAAATATGAAATGTTTCTTTTGGTAAATTTTGAATTTGTTAAACATTTAAACTGAAATTTAAGATTTCATAATATGTTGTTTTAATATTGTATTTCTCTGCATTACAATCATGAATTTTATACTATTTAACTTTATATAACAAAGCAAATACAGTTTTAATAAATGTGTATCAGAAATAGAAGTATATTTAATGAAAATAAATAGAAATATAATTAAATGTTATAAATTTATAATATAAATTGTTATTGAATTTCCTTTGGCTATATTTTTTCTAGTTTTATATAGTGTAGAATACAGCCATAATTTATTACAAATTAAATTGCTTCAATCTTTTGTATATATTTGCACAGAACAAATATACTATCAAGTGAATCATTCATGCTTAAATCATTCGTAAATGCTCCAAATTGTATATTTCATACAGCACCATCGAATCTTAGTTTCACCATTTTTCACTGTTTCTTCACAATGAATGTAAAATGTGCTTATGCAACTTTTTGTGCATTATGACCTGCAAAATTTCTACAGTGTTGATTTAGTAGTAATAATATTGTGTGTATTTTCATGTTACAAATGATGTGCATACCCAGAAATATACAAGCGTGACATTTAAAGCTGTATGAAAAAGTATATGCATGGAGTTGTTGTGGCTGTATGTTATAGTTTTCACATATAAATTAATACAGTTTAAAAGGTAAAATTACATTTTTTTTAATTCTATTGAATTCTTATTACAACAGATAACAAACGAAAGATATATTGCCCATGTAATTATCCTATCTATATTGTTATAATTTTGTCATGTTTCATTTTTTTAATGATTTTATATTGTAAGTGCACACGTTTTAAGAAAAATACTTATTTGATATAATTTATAGTTTATTTATAGCGAAAAAATTAAATTAATGAAACTTGCGTGAACGTCTGAATAAGTTACAAGAAGTTGCTAGGTTTTTACCCTGCTAGATATTTTTTATATGACAAACTAACAAATTTTTGTGGCAAGTTGTTATAATGAATTTTTTGTACATGGGTATTGAAATATTATTTTTTAATTGACAATTCATTATATATTATTCCTTGTGTTACAGTGCCCAACAGTCATCGGAAAATGCCGTTAAATCTGGTCGCCATACATTAGGCAATCAAGTAATACGCAAAGGATACATGTGTATTCACAATCTTGGTATAATGAAAGGTGGTTCCAGAGATTATTGGTTTGTCTTAACATCAGAGAGTATTTCTTGGTTCAAGGATGAAGAAGTAAATATTTTTTCTATTGTAACGTTACGTTAAATAATAATATGCGATTTACATGTATTATTCTTATTCTTAGGAGCGCGAAAAGAAATATATGCTGCCTTTAGACGGTTTGAAATTGCGTGATTTAGAGCAGGGATTTATGTCTCGGCGTCATTTGTTTGCTTTGTTCAATCCAGAAGGCAGGAATGTTTATAAGGATTACAAACAGCTTGAATTGAGTTGTGAAACACAAGATGATGTTGACTCCTGGAAGGCATCATTCCTTAGAGCCGGTGTATATCCCGAAAAATCGACGGAGCAAACAAATGGAGAAGGAGAAGTAAGCTACTATGATTGTAAAATTTAACTTTTTACATATCTACATATATACATACCTATATTGATGTATGTACGTATGTATATATCTTTAGAGTACTATACTTTTGGGAACGTCACAATATAAAATGGTAAAATGAACTCTGTTCAATCATATAAATCTGTTTTAATTTTTACTTAAAAATATAGTCGTTTTAGTTTGTTTTGTTCATATTAATACAAAGATAGGTAATTATTATAAGTCGATCTATTACGTTTATTAGAAAACTTGTTTGGTTTATTTTAGGATAAGCAGCGGGTGAGTTAGTACGGCAAATGTAAACTAAACGTGTTCTGTATTAGATATTTCATTGTGTGGTGGTGTGATATAATCTTAGGAGATGTAAATATGCCTAAATCCTTTACTAAATATTATTATTCAAATAGTGCGAATAGAATATTTCAAATGTGATTTGGTTGTGAAGAGTTTATATTTCAGAAAAAAAACTAATTTCATTCGATCTTTGGTACACAACAAACTCGAGTATTTTCCAACATAATTGTTAATTCTGTATAGTTACAAAACAATTATGCCTTTAGAAAATGACGAGTTTACTCATTTTAATAATATTCTTATTTAATCCGAATGCGGATAATATTTCTAACTTTCTCCAGAATTTAATCGAGTTCTTACATTGCATTTACAATTACCGAATGTTTTTTGCCTCTAATCAACTAAAGGAAGGATACGAGGTTGGTATGATTATAGAATGATATAGTCATGCAAGATACACAACACCTACACAAAGTATAGTACACCTCCACCCAGCTCTGCTCCTTTAATTACGGATACAATGCATATCTTTTTGTAAAAATATTTTTTTTTGTCTACTAACAGCATTTGCATTTAAACAGAATCAATAACACTTTTTTATAGTAACAATATTTTTTTATAGGTTTTATTTTCTTATAATCATATATAACAGAAAGTTTTTTTTTTTGTTGTTACTGCAAATGATAGAACATAAAACTTACAATTTGCATATTTGTAGGGTGGATCGGAAGCTCAGTCATCTATGGATCCTCAACTGGAGCGTCAAGTGGAAACTATTAGGAATTTAGTAGATTCGTACATGAAGATTGTTACAAAAACTACTCGTGATCTAGTTCCAAAGACTATTATGCATTTGATCATCAATAATGCAAAGGATTTTATTAATGGAGAGTTGTTAGCACACTTGTACGCGAGTGGTGATCAGGTAAAAATTAATATTTTTCAATTTTAAATATAATTCTTTTTCTGAAAGGTCATTATATTTTATATAAACCCCTTTTGAAGTAGTATAAAAGTATTTAACTTTAAATTTACATTGTTTCTTGTTTGAAATAAATCATTTATTGTACAATTGCAGACTTCAATGATGGAAGAGTCGCCCGAAGAAGCACAAAAACGAGAAGAAATGTTACGCATGTATCATGCGTGCAAAGAAGCACTCCGCATCATTGGGGATGTTTCCATGGCAACGGTTTCTACCCCTGTGCCACCACCAGTGAAAAATGACTGGCTGGCGTCCGGCGAAAACCCAAGGTAACAGTTATGTTATTATTTTCATTGTCGCTTATGCATTTAACTAATTTGGTATCTTTCAATCTTGTACTGCCTGCTTTTGCCACATATACTTGAACACCGTTGAAACAGTCTTGGGTAAGAGCTACTATGTCCCTACTGAATATTTTATTTTTATTTTTTTCTTTGTTATTTCAAGGCAGGAAAAGAGAATTCCAATAATTTTATTCATATATACATTAATCAAAATACTATTTGACCTTAATTTAGAAAAAAGTACCTCGAGTTTTAATTACTAAATATACTTTAGTGCATTCGTGCACTTCTATGCTTATTCATTTGTTAAAATATTGTTTCATTCTTTACACGCTGCAAATATCTTTCACATTTCTTCTGATTTCTAATATTTACATGAATTTCTGAGAGTGAGAACTGTGGGATTCGGAATTCTGGTTAGAAAAAACAATTTTATTCACATATATAATATAAATAACGATCTATAAATATAAAAATCCATATGAGATTTTCATTATGTACTTTAATTTTCAAATATTTTTGTCTTTTTATACTTCCATTCTGTACAGTCTCAGATGTTCAAATGTATAATTCTTTACTTTAACCTCCTTGATTTAGATTTTGAAGTATAATAACCTTTTATTTTCAGTTAGGTAGACTGAAGAAACGTTAATAACTTTATCTTCTACTTGTTTCAGGTTATCACCACCATCTCCTGGTGGACCCAGACGTGGAGTGACACAGCCACCACCTCTTTCTAGTTCTCGAGCTCCACCGCCAGTTCCAACTGGTGGTCGGCCAGCACCGGCCATCCCCAACCGACCTGGACCCGGTGGACCACCACCGGCCCGTGCTACACCTGGCCTACCACCTCCGCTAATACCATCGTAAGTACAACAAAACAATTACGTATTTTGTTATTAGTAACATAATTTATACAATCTGTATAACCCAACAAGTTAAAAAGATCGCTGGCAAAATTATTTAACGATAGAGACAAAAAATATGATTGATTCGAGTATAGTATAATTTTTTCCTAAATGCCAAGTTTTTAGTATATTTCTACATTTACAAACTACGAAACTTTTTAAACTCATTGGGTTTCAATACAGAGAACATTAAGAACATGCAAAATTTGAGGCACTTTTGTACTTCCGAGTACCGTTGAATCGTGAAGTCTCACATTTAAGAAGTTTTGCACAACGTTCTTGTCAGTTCACGTCTAAAACAATCTTCTGTGTTTTTTATGTAACGAGGTGAAGGTCCTATTTCATTTTAACTCTTCACTTTTTTAAAAAAAAAGAAGACAAGAAAAAGAAATATTAAACATGGAAATTTGCAGTCGCTTGTCTTTATAGCTTTGTGTGATTGGGGCTTGGGTGCTAACCTCACTTTCTATTGCAGGCGCCGACAATAAGTCTTCGCACTAACTCGTCTATTACCTACTAATCAATATACATAATATAATATATCGATTACATCTACTCAGTGTACATTTTACACGAAATACAATTTCCTAACGCTATATGTTCTGTCTGCATATATTACAGATTACGTGGTCACTGTTAATTAGGGGTGTGTAATTAGTTGCCATTAGTTCGTGGTTCGGGGATCCGGGAAGAGATCTTAGGAGTACTGAATGACGATTTATTGTATCCAAGTTTCATTTCAACTGATTCAATTGTCTTCTAAAAAAGAAACCAAGATATAATTTCTCGTACTATTTAAATCGTTTACGTTCCCTAAGAATCATCTCCGAAACATGTTATACTCGGTTTCAAGGTCGCGTGCTCGACATCTACGAGAAATCTTACGAACATGTTTCTTCTACGCCCCTAATTAAAAGTCCTAATTGTCTACGATTGATCGGTAACCGAGAAAAGTGAACTAGACGTTATGAATCACGCTCATTCGTAATAAAAAAATGAATATATAATAGGTAGAGTGAATATATTTCTTTCATTGTAAATTAGTTCGATGGAATTGTACATGATGCTTGTATATACAACTAGAAACGTTGTAAAATAAATGGTCCTGGGTTCTTATCACAGGTGGATATGTATTCATTCGCTTACTAACAGCATGACATTTTGATTAATGAAAACGAAAAACATAAAACAGCTGCTCCTCGTGAGACTCGTTTTCCAAGTGTCTGTCGAACAATCGTTTCAAATATTCTACATGAATAAAATTAAATACAATACACAATGGTCTTGCAACAAATTTTGCAGCCGAAAGCTTTCCTAATACCGTTGCTTTTCTGTTCTTGTTTATTCTACAAGCCTTCGCTAAAATCATTTTGAATCTTGTCAATTATTAATTACGAACGAATATGTCGGTGCCTGCATTAGATCATTCACACCTTTTTTTTCTAATTGGAATTTCATTGTACACGCGATTGTAAGTTGATGATTCTACGTGGTAGCGTGCATTTCGTTTCCGAACCGTACGTTCGAATATTAAACACACTTGTTCAGGATGTGCAGTATGTTCGGTTTAAAAGTATAGAAAACAATAACTTTGTACATTCCGTTGATCTTTTAGAAATAGTTCTTTAAATTTTCATTGTGATAGTAAATTTAAAGTTCTCCGAAATAAGACCCGTACATTTATCGATAACATTAAATTTTTTTCTACTCTATAAACTAGCCTTGTACAAAAAGAAAAAGATGGTAACGTCATTAATG